TATTTGCCGTTTTCGATTATTCCATTAGAAACAGAAAAGACTATTCGAGATGCTATTCAAGGATATGATCAACAATTCATAAACGATATGGTTGAATTTGGCACGGTACATTTCACTGATCTCTCTCTCTCTCTCTTCTAATGTCATTTCATACACATTGCAGGTATACCGTGCACAAGTTCGTCGTGATCATCATTTCTTCTTTGAAGCTTTTCGTAACAATCATATACCAGGACTGTAAAAGATCTCATTTTAATTTCTAACTTCTACCTTATAGATTGGCAAACATGAATCGTTAAATATAATCTTTTGTCACAGTCATGTTAGATACTAGTTATCACATTGTTATCATCACAACATATACTGAAGGTTGTTTTATATATACTTAATATGATATGAATGCATATATTTATTCATCAACTTCCATTTTTATTTTTTTTTGAAATTTTTATGCTTAATCGTTGATATGTATGTGATCTTTTTTTTTGTTATCCAGTTAATCTTATATACACCCATGGGCAAAAGTCTTCGACCTCCATATTCTCTTCGTATCGAACCCTTTTGGTCTCAAGTGAATGTTGGTTACAAGAATGACTTAAATATTAAATGTAGTGTATGATTGATTACGACCTGCTTCAATGAAGAATGTATGTCGTTCAATACAACCAGTCAACATTACAAATGAGTTAGCTGATCGAATACTTCATGATTGAGTTATCTTTTCTCTTTTTTGTTTTTGTCTGAATGTTTTACTAGTTTTACTTTATATGTATTTGTAGAATCACTTGTACCACACTCTCAAAAGAGCTTCGAGACGGCGACGAAGAGAATTTAATCAATCAAACCAATACAACAGTTGATAGATACAAAAAAAAGAGATAACTCAGTCGTGAAACATTCTGTTAACAAACTCATTTGTAGTGTTGCTCAATTCTATTGAAAGACGTATATTCTTCATGGAAGCAAATTGTCATCAATCATACACTACACTACTATAAAGTACTTAAGCCATCCTTGTAACTAACATTCCTTTGAGACCAAAGAGATTCTATGCAAAAAGATGAGTGGGAGGGAGGTGTATGACTGTTACACCTGTTAGATAGTCAGGATTTCGAATTGATGTTCAAAAATTTTATTTTTTATCATGTAAATTATAGTCAAATTCTTCTTTTTCCTTTTGCTATTTTAGAAGCATATCTGAAATCATTGCAACAACTTTTCTTTTAGAAAAATAGTGATCAAGTATTATCGATTTTCCAAATATGACATGAAATGTTAAATGTTATCGAATCTTTTAAACAGATTTTGGCAAATATATAACGATTGAACTATGAAACAGTGGCATTTATTAGATGTATTTACTTGTTAATCCTTGAAATTAAAGACTTTATAAATCATTATGAATCATTGTTTATTTCAAAGTAAATATAATCAACATTTGATTAAATAATTTTAAAAATGATTTGAAAATTTTCGAGTACAGAATCTACTTATTGATAATCTCTTTCTCTCTCTTATTCATAAAATTTTCTATTTACAATAATCAGTGAAATAAAGTAAGATATAGAGAAAATCATGTAGTCAAAAAAGTAATCGATAACGACTTTAATAAAGGAAATAATTATGTTTACTTGATATAATTTACTAATGATCTTATCAGAGATATATAATTCTATCTCTTTAATGCACAAGATGTAACCATATAATAATAATGTAGACGATAAACGAATGATGTAAAAACTAAATAAATACAAAATTGTTTAATAGTTGTGGAGACAGACTTTTAATGATCAAACGTTTGACTTGTTAAATATGGAATAGGAAAAAAAATAAATATTATGACTTTATGTATTGATTAAGATCATAACTCATTAATGAAAGAAAATTTTTTTCATTGAATATATGTACATTTTTCTGAGTTATCTTCCGATAAACAAATAAATTAACGGCTAATTAGGTGGAGAATTTTTCGCTTTACAAAAATGTGGAATTCGTTTTTTAAATAAATATTTCTCGTCGACGAAAAATTGATAATTGATTCACTGCCTAACTGCGACCTCCTATTATATTCTGCCAACATCCAATGATTGGTGCAAGCTTGTATTCATCAAATTCGATTGTAAATGTCAAGTACTAAGCATCATAGATAAAATATATTACATCCTCGATACTTCAAAAATCTTCTCATAGCTCCTAATGATCTCGTGTAGGCATCAAAAGCTTGAAAATAATATCCGGTGGTATTTTTTTCTTTGAATATGCTTTCGAAAATCGTGTTTTTAAACGTTAGGAAGCTTTATGAATGGCTTATCATTATATCATCGGTTGTAGAATTTATTTTTGAATAAAATGACGTAACATTTAAATCGAACAACGAAAATCTTCAGATTGCTTTCAATGGCATAGAGCTGCTAGAAAGAGTTGTTTGCGTGGTTTTCAAATTTTTGCTTGAAAAATTATTCTTTCTATTGTTTTTGTTTTTTTTCATAAAATTACGAAACATGTTGAAATGCAGCGTTTTTACGGCGTATTTTGCATCATATTTTGCGTTTCGCCAGTTGCAATTCATTGACTTAGTGGATGTAAATATTTTCGATTTTTTTTTGTGGTATGAAAACCTTATTTAAAGAGCGAAATTGATACTTTTGTAGAGTGAAGCATGTTCGATTAAATCAGCTTAGAATGATGTGTTTGAATTGTGTTGCTGTCTTCAAGAACAAAAAAAGGAAGATCAAAGTGTCCTACTCTTTATAACTCATCCGTTATTGTTTGTACTTGAAGAAAATACTAGATAAATAATGAGGTCGAAGAGCAGCAGTAGAATAAAAATAGGAGATTAGTGAATATAACACTGATACGAAAAAAATTTTATTAGATTTTTATTAAAAATCAAATTTATTCAGACATCTGTTGATAGTTTGAATAAATTTGATTTTGAATAAAGATCTAATGTATGTGTGTGTATGTGCGCGCATAAATTATTAATTATTAATTTTATTAAAGAGCATTGTATGCATTTTATTATTGTTTTATGATGTATAAATACAAAAGAAGTTCGTCTGATTGAAAATTTTCATCTATCAACATATGATGATACCCGAAAGACGACTAAAACGATCATCAGAATTATATAACTGTAAGTGTTGATAGGTCTTATTTATTTATTTATTTATCTATAGTTTCGTTAGTGTAGATATCATTTTTTTATTTACTATTCTAAGATATCATATAACTATGTACAAATCATTGCTATTCTTTCTAATTTTCATTTTTCTTTTAACTGTGAGTACAGCATCAGAATATGATGAAATTAAGGAACAATTGAATAATGTATCAGAACAACTCAATCGAGTTGAATTACTACTCAATAATAGTATCAATCAGTTATTGAATAAAATTGATCAGAATAACCATGAGATAACACATTTATTCAAATCTCATTATACTTCATTAGTAGATGGTGAGTTTCTCTCGTTTTTTTTTCAGATTTCAAAAACAAAAAAGTTTTAATGATTTATATTAATTAGTTTTTTTTTAATTTTAATGTTGCCTTCAATTCCTATAGGTAAACAACACTCTTCAACTCGATCAGTTAATGCTCTTCTAATTATTGATGTACAAAATGATTTTATTGATGGAAGTCTTTCTCTTCGAAAATGTCCATCGAAACATAATGGTGAAGAAGTTATTCCAGTTATAAATAATCTTCTTGATTCTATTAATTTCGACGTTATTGTTTACACTCATGATTGGCATCCAAGTGATCATATATCATTTTTTGATAATCTTCATCTTCGTTCACATTATCTTACTAATGATTCAATACCTTTAACTGATCTTCAAATTTATTCAACGGCAATATTTGATATTCCTGGTGTTCCTCGTATGAAACAAGTTCTTTGGCCTGCACATTGTGTTCAAAATACTTCAGGTGCTGAATTACATTCTGATTTGAAAATAATCAATGAAAATAATACACAAAATCTATCAGTTATTCATATTTATAAAGGAACAAAATCTAATATTGATTCATATTCAGCTTTTTGGGATAATTTAAAATTAAGTGAAACAAATTTACATCAATTATTAACAGAAAAACAAGTTACTCAAGTATTTCTTGCTGGTCTAGCAACAGATTATTGTGTATATTTTACAAGTATTGATGCATTAGAACATGGTTATAAAACATTTATTATTGAAGATGCATGTCGTGGAGCAGATCCAATAACAATTAAAGAAAAACTTAATAATTTTACACAGAAAAATGGTCAAATTATTCAATCAAATCAAGTGAAAGACAATATATAATAATAACCGTCATATATATTTATTTATTTTTTTCAATAATCCTCAATAGATACCATATATTTATTAGTTTTACCTTTTTTTTTTATTAACCATTAACAATAAAACTTTCCTTTGTTAATAAACAAAAAAAAAAAATTGTTTAATGATTTGCTTCTATTTTATTAACAATATGTCAACAACAAAGTAAACTCTATTTACTCATGTCTTTTATTAGTACGTAAAGAATTGTACTTATATATCATAATCATATCAATGTAATTGTAATTCGAAAAAAAAAAATAAATCAAAAACATTAATATAGAATAGATTACATCAAATGAATAAATATCACATTCAAAATGACAAATTGATCTATAATTCACAAACATATTAAAAGAGTTAATATTTTTCATTCCTAATGACGACATCTACATTAATTTTGATATAAAAATATTTGAAAACTTCACATAATATCTTATCAGTAAATATTCAAATAAATTTGACAATTATTTCAATAGTTATATCATTAGATTTCCAATAGAATATTAATAGTTGAAGTAATCATTATAGTTGTAAAGAATGTTTTGACACTACGATGAGTCATATATCGATCTGCATAGAATGGCGTGATGTTTCGAAAATTGTTAACAATAAAATAAAAATATATTTGTCGATTTTATTTTTCAATGTAAACAATCAAAGTAAGGCAAAGAATGAATAGAAATTTGAATCAATTTGATGAATTTCAATCACAAGAATCATTAAATATTACCTCAACAGTATTCGATGGTAAGATAATATCTTTTTGTTTTAATATCAAAATAAATTTTTTTAAATTTTCAAGATTATTTAACATGTGATTTTAAATTATCAGATGATAATGTTCTTAATGATATTCTCTCAGACTTTGATATCAATACAAACAATATTCAATGTATTGATAATTTAACAAATGATATAAATTATTTTCATACATCTTCAAATCTTCCATCATCATATAAGACTACTTTACATTCAACAGCAATTAACAATAACATACAAAGTCTTCAAGCAGAATTTGATGAAGTACTCTCTCCAGATGCATTCAAATTAGTAATTGAACAACACCAACAGCAACAAACAAATAATGAATCGCCATTCTTCTCTACAAACTATAGTAGTCCAATAGATGATCATGAAGTAATTTAAAAATACAAGAACAAAAAAAACATAATACTATATTTATTTTAATGTATTAGTCTACATCGACAAATCCATTGAATTATCAAACAGATCAAATCATTATTACAAGAAAACCAACAATAAATTGTTCTCAATCATCTGTTCAATTTCCTAAATTAATCGAGAAATCTGATCCAATTACAATTACTTTCGATCAATTTCAAACAGTAAGAATAATATCATTTGTTATCTTGTTCCTTTTTTCTTTTTGTAAATTCTAAAATCCTTTCTAGTTAATACATGCTATTCCTAATACATCGAAAACAAGTGCTAATACAATTTCTACTCTTCTTGAAAATAGTACTATTATTGCAAATAATATTCCTTTAAGAATTGTTCACCAAACAAGTCATAATCATAATTCTAATGGTTCAGATAAATTTAATTATCAAGATTCACTAACAAATAATAATAATAATAATGAATCAATAATTGTTAATGGAAATGGTAATCGTTCTCGACGGAAATTATCACATACTGCAATTGAAAAACGATATCGATCTAGTATTAATGAAAAAATAAATGAATTGAAAGAAATTGTAGCAGCTACTGATGGCAAGGTAGGGGAAGACAATGTAAGAAAAACTGGAAAAAAAAAGATTGATTAGAGTGGCAATAGATAAGTCTATCATCAGTTGATAGCGTGGTCAAAGCAATTGGTTTTCTTTCTTCTTCTCCTTCTTTTCTTTTTTCTGTTCGACAGCTTACTGATTAGATGTAGTCTATTTTCTAGATTATCTCATCTACTAAATGAAGACTAATCATGTGTTGAAAAATATCTCTTTTTTTTTTTTTCGTATCGAATAGATCCAAAAATCCGGTATACTTCGACGTACAATTGAATATATTCGACAACTTCAATCAACTAATCGACAATTAGAAGAAGAAAATAGTACCTTGAAAAACATCTTGAAACAATTAAATTTGACAAGTATGTTTACAATCATTTTTCATCTGTTGAATATCTAATTATTTTAATCGATATTTCAATATTCTATTTTATTTCATTTTGATTTGTCGTCATCGTCGTTTTTTTTTCTTCTTGTCTCTTGAGACCTGTTACATTCAAACGATAGATAGACACAAAGCAGTAAGCTGCTGTCATCACTCGTTCCATAGCAATGATTGCTTTCTTCTTTTATTAGTTTTAGATAATGCAAGTATACTTGAGAAAGAAAAAAAAAAAAAAAAAAAAAAAAAGGAAAAAGAAAAAGAGCATTAGCTTATATTTCCCTATAAAAAGCCTTTATCTACATTGCGATTTATTATTTCTTCTTTCTTCGATTCAGGCACTGATCTTCCAAGTAATAATGATGTACAATCATCGAATAGAAATTCTTCGACAAAAAATCTATTATCAACATTTAATACCGATTCAAATGATGAAATATATAATCCTGTTACAAAACGTAAAATAGATAATCATTTTTATTTGATTTTTTTGCATAATTTTCTTTTTTATTTTTAAAGGAAAAAAACAAACGAACAGTAAACGAGGTATGGTTGATGGATCACGATTAATTTTATGTTGTTTTATGTTATGTGTATTTATAATAAATCCATTTAATTATTTACTTGATCATATTCATTCATCAAATAATGATGATACAATGGAAATACAATCAATTCTTAGTTCAAGAACATTACAAACAGTAAAAGATAATGAAAATTTTAATTCATTATGTAATAGAAATTTTTTTTTTTTGCTTTAAATTCAATTCAATTATTTTATTTTGTTATAGTATTTGTGAGTATATCATGGAAACAACTTATTGCATGGATGCTCAATATAGCAATATGTCTTGTTTGTCTTGTAAAAATTTTTGTTCATGGAGAACCGATCGTACATGAATTAGATATGGATGAATATTATACTTATAAGAAAAAAGCAGATGCACTTATGGATGAAGTATGTTAATAATAAGATAAAATTTTTTCAATTATTTCATTCTAATATTAATAATACAATTCGATAGGATAATAACAAAAGGAAAGAAATACTTTTGAAAAATGATCATTATTTTTTTAGAATATAAACTAATAAAGAAGATTTTCATTTGTTTTTTTTTACTAAGAGTTATTCTTCATATAACTCAAAAAGAATTCTAAAATTTCATTAATTAATAAGGCCAATTGATTTCGAAACTTTTTAATCGTTTTAACTTAGACAAAAAGTGTCTTGTTCGAGATATTTAATATTAAAAAAAAAATAATCATTCTTCCATAGACGACAGACATATAAAAAACAACTACCTCAATAAGAAAGTATCTCTCTATTTGAATGACTTTATAACCAATCGACAATACAATAAAACAATTATAGCTATTCACTAAAAATTCAAATATCCAAAACCATTCGAAAATAGTCTTATATCTTTAGAATATTTCTAAATCAGATAAAAGTATAACTCTAAAAATTTCTTTTTTTTTTTTCAATTTTCAAAGAATCAATTAAATGAAGCATGTGAATATTATCGAAAATGTTGTGAAAAACTTTATATATCAATTGATCAAACATATTTATATTATTTTTCTTCTATAACATGGCAAATAATTCGTTTTTTTCTTAATATTATATTTGTTGGTCGTTGGTTAACATATTGGTCTGGTTGGACAAAATCAATAGATACACGTTATTATAATTGTGAATTAAATGATTGTTATTTACAATTATGGAAAATTGAATATCATTATTCAAAATCTTTATTAAATATATTTAATTTATTTTTATTAACAATAAATACATTAATAAATTCAGGAAAAAAATTAAATAAAATTAAACGAAATGAAATCTATTTTTTATCAGCATTAACATTAAAAAAATTTGATGGATTATTTACAATATTTATATCATATTTATTAAAATATCTTATACCAATTGATATTAATGATATATGGTTATTAGATATTGATCGTTTAAATCAATTTATATATGAAAAAAAGATTTATTTATTTAAAAAAAAATTTTTTATGGAATCAATACGTATTCAATTTTTTGAATATATTCTTTATAATAATATACAAAATCAACTTTTATTTCAAGATGAACAACAACAACAACAATTTATGATTAAAAATATTAATGAACTTGATCTATTTTCATGGTGGCAACATAGTTTACAAATTATACGTTGTATTTCAAATGATAAACAAAATATAAATAATATAACATCAACAGATTTACTTCGACAAATAAATTTATCAAATAAAACTATTTATTATATGGCACGATCAATAAAACTTGTTAAGTATGTTAATTTTTTTTTTTTATTTTTAAAATTTCTTTCTTTCATATATAGTGAACAATATATTATGATTATTGAAACAATTCATATTATACTTCTTATATTAACTGATTATAATGATGAAACAAATTCAACAAGAATATTATTACTTGAACAATTAGGACAATCAAGTCAATTATTAACATCATCTAAAGTTGAAACATATTATATTAATAATAATAATGAAGATAATTTGGATATGGTATGTTTATTATTTTTGATTAATAATGCTTTTGTCTTCAGCCTCTTGTGCATTGTTGTTGCATTGCATTCACGATATTTGATATATGCAATGGAAAGGACAGTGCAACAAGAAAGTGGAGAGCTTCAACATCTAAATATATTCATAAATTATTATTTTATTGAATATTTTTATTATGATTTGATATTCTAGGCAATCAAAACATTATTATTAGATGGTATTTTATCATTACGTCTTCGTCTTCTAACAAGTTCAATGATAAATAATAATCAAAAAATTCCATTTCTTGATGATTTTCAACGAGAATTAGATTATTATAGACGATTAAATCAATTAATGAAATTACCAAAACAAAAAGTAAATTATTTTCAATTTTTATTTCATTTATACATATTTTTTTTTTATTTGTTTTATTTAGCTCTATTTATTTGAATCAATATTTCGTACATCATCTGGTTTAAATCCATTAATAACTCAAACATTATTTGAACGTGCAATGAAACAATCAAATTCTATGATTCAAACAAAACAAGGTTAAAAAATTCAAATAGAATTAAAAACAAAAAAAAAAGAAATTTAATTCTTATTTTTAATTTAGAATCATTACCAAATCTTGATATAATAGCAGGACTGTTACTTTTTTGTCATTTTTTACCGTCAACAGTTTATCGTTATCGAAATATTCTACAACAAGTTGTTGCTATATCATCAAAAACAAATAAAAATAATGATCTTAATCGTTTACAACAACAATGTTTGACATTAATACATCAACCATATTTTACTTTGTAAAAACAATTTTTGTTATCTTTTTATTGGATAAGCATGCTATTTTCTTCATAGGTTTGTTACTATGTGACATTTCTATAGTATCAGTTGAAACGAATAATTTTTTTTTTCTATGTATACACATCTAAATTGTTTTTTTTTTTTTTGTTGCTTGACAAACATAAATAAAATAAATTTTAATATTCTTCATAATTAAGTTATCATTGTTTTAATAGTTGATGTTCTTCTCTGAAATTGGCAAGAATTTTCAAAAAAAAAGGGCTATGTCATTTCAAACCAAAAAAAGACAAATTTAGTATATAGAATGAAGACCTACAAAAAATTTTGGGTTGCCCAATGAGCTATTTTTAACCTTTGTTAGTTGAATGTCCTTGAAAAATATTATCATATAGGGCTGAAATTTTTATCATAGTTTCAATATATCCTGAAAATTTTATGTAATTTGAATGTACTTGATCTAAGATCGATATTTGAGAGGAAGATCTTAAATATTGAGGTTACTATCATAAATTATTTAAAATTCCTTGATAATTAGAAATATCACAATTTATCCATAGGACATATCTTCATATCTCGGAAGCATAAAGATGTTAGAACTGAATCTAGAAGCAAGTACAAATTCATTGCAATATCTATTTCTTCGATAACAAATAATCTCTTAGTATTTGTCAACACCTTGTAATGCAGAAACAATATATTTCATTGTAGAAATTAGTGATGAAATGTTTTCATTCATTTCAAGGCATTGAGATATTTCTATTTTTAGAAACAAGAAACATCGGAAATATTTCTAAGACTATATCTATCTATGTCAAACGCTTCATATATATACATATATGATTCATTCAACACTTCGACAATTCAATAAGACAACTGATGATCGTCTTATCAAATCGTTGCGTGCAAAACGAAGTCTATTTTTAACATGTATATACATGAGATCTTATGACGTTTTCAGTATGTCTATATATGGAAATATTCTATTTCTAGATAGAGTATAATTTTGACATGTACAAAAAGAACGATTTTTGAAAAGTTAATCAACCGAATAAAAATTTTTTTCGTTTATAAATGAACATAAAAAAGAAAATATCTGATTTCTTAATTTTAAAAATCAATTTCATAAACTATAGATATACCTTTACTATTATTCATTAACATCTGTTCTCAAATATTGATATAAGTAAAATATAATTGACAAAATGACTAACCTTGCTAAGAAACTATTTGATTTATAACAGTATGTTATTATAATACATTAAAATGATTTATCTATTTGATTTTTGTCTTCTTTTCAATTTGTATTTGTACACTTCTTGATGATGTTTTATACAGAAAGTCCTTTTTTTTTTGTTCTTAAATATGACAACGCAATTTTTATTATTTCATTTTTCAACAAATATTATTCTTAACATATCTTGACAGAAAAAAAAATAAATAATCTCTCTTAATCAGAAAAATTTCAATAAAAGAAAATAATAATTTACTTTTATAAATTTTCCTACTGTTAAAATAAACATTAATATTAATAAAAATTCTTTAGAACATGAAGAAAAAAAATGAAATAATAAGTTAGAGAATGAGAATAGCATTTAAAATTAACTAAAGAAAGATAACTTAATGGTAGACTTCAATGCTAGACAATATTTTCATTTGAAATACAACTTATGTAGAAGACAAAAGATAATTTCACATGCAAAAATATGTTACTAATTGAACAAATCGGATTGAAATTGTTTTGCCATATTTTTCTTTTTTCATAATCAATGTCAAGATATTTAATATCATGTTTCGATATATTAATTTCAGAAAAAATATTTGTTTATTTTAATAATTAGATTAAAATATCGTAAACGATAAAATTCAAATTTCAATTGACTTTATAAAAAAATCGAAGAGAAAAATTAGATGAATTCATTTTGCAATAAAAATATTTCTAATTGTCCAGAAATTATTTCAATATCCTTCGACTTGTTGTTAATCTATTCAAAATTTCGATTATAAAACATGAATATGTCAACATATTGTTTAATTTAACAGATTTTTTTCTTAGACCTTTTGTTAAATGATTTTCATTAAATTGACTAAGCTGATCAACCATGATCATTTGAAAACTTCTATAATATTAATAATTATCACTAGATTATATATAAAAACAGATTACGAATAATTCGATATCTGTTAACAAAGTTTAATCAGTACTAGCTATTACAGATAAAATCTCGATCAAATTTTCTATTTTAACAATATAAACTAAAGTACTTTTTACATCAATGACTGACAAAACATTGATTTTAATATCATCATTTTAATCTATGATAATTTTTAATATTGTATGACTGCTACTCTTGCTCAAGCAAACAAAAATTTCTGAAAACTCGCTTAAACATCCAAATCGTAGTTCTCTGTTTGATTATTTTTAAACGTTCATTCAGAAAACACCAAAACCAGATACTTTCATCATAAGAACTGCGTCAAGATGCTCAAAAAGTGCAACTTTTACATCTGTAAAACATCTAATCAATTTTTTTTATGCATGATGTATGTCAAACATATTGTTAGAAAACTTTTTGAACGCCTTTATGCATTTTTAATGATAGAAGTAGCTGGCTCTGATGTTTTCTCTGAATGGACATTAAAACGTTCAAACTGTAACTGCAATAATGGTGTTTAAACGTATTTCCAGAAATTCTTGTCTGCTTGGTTAGAGAGTATTTCTTGAGATAAACTTGTAAATGAAAAACAATTAACAACTATGTATCTTTACACTCAATGACTCAATGATATCATCCTTTTCATATATAGAATTCATAATACGTTATTTTATAACAAAAGAAAAAAATTCGAATAAAGTAAGTCTAGTCAACATGTAAGGACATTCTTTATTGACATATAAAATAATACGGTTACATATTGATCTTTTACTTCATGATATACTTGTAATTATCTTCATTGCGTTACTTTATATTTATATATATATATAGATAGATAAGTACATATCAAATAAAATAAAAATTGATATTGTGTACTT